TTTCAACAGCCCGAAGAAAACTCTTGCGGGCGTTCTATTCTTCTATTTCTCTCATTTTGACCAACTCTGGATTAATGATGACACATAATGCTGGCAACTTAAGCTCACACTCACACTCACATTTTCTATACAAAATTACTCCCTTAACCATAACTGCTTGGGGCTTGTCGGGTAAATTTCTGATGCTTTCTGTTGGCCTACCTACTTGCCTCTTTCTTCCTTTTCATCCAAGGTGACTTTGCCTTTTCTTTTCTCAACCTAATTGAGGTTTATCATGTTGATTGGAGCTTCAGTGAATGGATCTGTGTCGACCATCATGTTGAACTGAGGTTTCTCTAACATTAATTTCCCTTTGACTATAAAGCCTTGGATCCAATTTCTGAATTGCACACAATTAGCAATGAAATAGTTGAAGGTATAATGGAGCTTGCAATACTTCTTTCATCTGAGTTCTTCAGGTTTGGGCATCTTTTTTGTGCTATCGAGCAAGATTACTCGGGCCTTCACCAGTTCCTCATAGATGTCTTCAGCCTTGGTTAAGTCAAAAGAATAAGACTGATACTTTGGAGGCTTTATGGGTATAAAGCCTCTATTATTCATCATGATCTTCTGGTCTTTGATGGGTTGAACCAATCTCTTCACCATCAAAAGTTTGAAAGAAATGGTCATCTTTGCAGCAACCAATCTCACCCATCTTTAAGCCTTCAAACTCTAGCTGATAAATTGGTGCCTTACTATTACAAAAAGGGGGGCACTTTAGATAAGTGTTTCATTTGTTGTTCTTATGCCAACACTTCTCATACTTAGTGGCCGCAATCACCAGCTCTTGAAGCTCGTTAAACTGCATATCATAGAACTTCTTTCTCGGGGTAATCTCATAGCCTTATGAGCGATGACAATAAGTTGAGCATGGTTGATTGGGAATTGGCATCTCATCCTGGTTTTCCTAAACCTTATCATAAAGTCTTCCGTAAACTCATGTTTATGTTGCTTAACTTTCACCAAATCATTAATGGTTATTTCAAGTTCCACCATATAGAATTGCTCACGAAAGGTCATCTTCATCTGCCCCCAGTTAGTGATGGAATTGGGGGATAACAAAGAGTACCATTGGAAAGCCAAGCCTACCGGTGAGTATCCAAACAATCTCAGTTTATAATTGGGATTATCCATGAACGCCATGCAGTGATTTGAAAATTTGAAGATGTGATCTTTAGAAGACATATTACAATCTTCCCCACTAAAAGTTGGGAATGCCGACATCTTGAAATTGAGAGGGAAGGGATTCTGCTAATCAATATACTCAAGATAAGGCTTCTAATATGTTATCCTAAACATCAGGCAAGCCTGCGGCTGAGCATTATGTACTACCATTCTCCTTAATTATGCTAGTTCATTCTTAAGTTATTGGTTAGTCATATTATTGTGTGGGGGATAGGGAGTCCCCCACTTCGGGCTATGATCGATGCCCAAGAAAGCTTCCCTCTGTGGGTCTGGCTGTCTCTACCTAGCTTTTTCTCCTCCCTTATTAGCCAATGGTGGTGGCCTGTAAGGAAAAGGCTTGCCCCCAGCTGTGGATAAGACTTTTCCGCTCATTTCTCCCACCAAGTTAAACGCACATTTTTTATCTCTTCTTGCCTAATTTGCCTTTTAACATCTTGTAGTGGTGGCAGAGGATCGGGCAAGCTTGTCTCTTGAAACTTTTCTTCTTCTCGTTGACTGGTTTCAGCCTCTTCCTTCCTTTTCCCTTCATTATTATTTTCTTCCAGTAAGGGGGAATTGCTGGTTCTTTTTCTAGGCTTGCCTCTATTATTCTTTCCCTGGTATAACCATCATTTGGTGTGGAGTACTCTAACCCCAACTTTCTTTGTAGCGTTCCTGCTAAAGAACAGAACCTGCTAACCTCTCCTATGGTTTCCAGAGAGATATTCTCCATACTCCTCAATACTTGCACCATGGTGGCTTGTAAATCCTCAATACTTGCACCATGGTGGCTTCCAAATCTTCATTACTAAGTTTTTGAGGCCGTGTAATAAGTCCTCTGGGTGATCTGTCATGATTGCTTCTGTTGGACAAAGAGGTTACCCAAATTCTACCTTCCATAACTCCCTAGGGTCGTGCCTGTTGGGCAAGGTTTGCTGCTTGGTGTACTACAATATGAGTTTGCTATTAGTTTGAATGGTGTCTTTGTGAGGCCTTTATTAGGCCTTGAGACTCACAATCAAAGCTAATAAGGATATGAGTGTGCCACTATTATCTTTGTATAACATATTGTTCTTTTTTGGTTATTAACTCAGTTGATTACTTGCACCATAAGTTACTTAGACTTCTTAATCTTGCTAAATTGTTACAGATGGGTCAAGTCTGTATAAGGTTATTTTTCTTGCCTTGTAAATAAGGACTTCTACTCATAATATTGTATGTCTAGTTGAAGAGTTCATGGCCCTTCCAACTATTGTTTTAATTATAGTTAACACTAAAGAAGCACGATTAATTAGTTTAGCTTGATTAAACACAAATGAACTTTGAAAAGCAGTTGAAATTGGTTAGAACACAAAGAAAGATGCATTAAACAACATATCTACTTTATGTAAGCACAAACAAAAGAGACTCGGGCAAGATTATAACCTTTTCAAGCAAGGTTCATCTGCTTGCGACCACCTCTCTTTGTATTTTACAAGGGTTGCAATCTTTAGAGAATGAAAGGTAAAACGGGTTTATAAAGGGGATTCGATACTACAATGCTAGAGAAAAGTAGCAGAGCTTCTAAAACTTGACAAAAGATGGCTTTCTAAGGTGGACCTAGGACTAAAAGAGCAGAGTATGGACAAACTAAAGCTTTCTAGTTTCTTGCTTGTTTGAGAGCAAAGTGAGATGTCTTTTGATTGATTGGTTGAGTGTGCTTGTCTTTGGTCTCCCTCGTTGCTTTTATAGACTTCTTAGCCTGACTATCCAAGCCTTGCTTTTTGGTGATGGCCTTCGGAGGATGGTGAGTCACCATTTATTTACCTATCCATGCCCTTGAAAAGTACTTTTTACTGGAGGTGAGCTGCCCTCTGTTGTCCATCACTTCTCACATAGGCTTGTTGCCTATTCCTTGCCAAAAATGATTTTTATTTTTAATTCATCATGGGCCGCCAACTTGTCTAAGCCCAATCCCCCTTTCTTGGGCCCTCACTTTGACTAAGTCCAGCATTAAATATCCATTCAAACAAGAGTTAGAAGTGACTCAAGTTGATCTGGAGTTCAAAGGGCCACAAAAAGTGGTTAAGATAAAAGAACTCAAATTGTTCACTGTTTGTTGTATGACATCACCTATGAACGGCCGGTTACCATTTGTAGGTCAAGTTTTGAAGAGAGGTTATAACTTAAATTAGTTGTGATCTCAAACCACTGTAGAAATTAGTTGAGCTGATTCTGGTCTGGTTCAGCTCCGAATGGTGCGTACGTAACTAAAGTTTTGTAAAATGTTTCCGGAATCGCTTATAAAAAGTTGCTTCCAATGTGTAACTTGCTGGTTATTTTGCAGCAACAGATAAATAGGAAACAGTAGGGAATCACATTGTTTATTACATGAGCGTACAAATACACTTGTCACACACAAAATTCAACTGCACACTGACAAAGTCTTCAACAAAATTAAGATACTTATTTTGTTAGACCCACACAGTAAAACAAATGAGAAATGAAAGGCTAGGGTTGTATAGACCCTGAACGTACCAGATCACCAGACCCTTGCAGAAAACACATGTGAAAGAAACCATATGTATTTTATTACCTTTTATCTCAATTTTGGTTCCACCGCATTTTCAAGTTCTGGCACACGACATCACAGGGAGACGGTGAAGACTTGACGTAAACCAAGTTTGGATGTTGGTTAAGCAAGCCAGGAAAGTCCAGGGGCTACTGAAATGGTGGTTAAAGAATCGAGATATGCAGGTCTTCCACTTGGTTTCATAGTGATTTTCTATATCGGCTATGGCATCGCAGTATATGCGAGTGTTAGGAACCAGGTCAATGCGAAGCTCATTAAAGATTTCAACCACCTTCTTATCACTCCCTAGTAAGTTGTAAAGTACACTGACTGACCTTAGCTTCTTTACATCACTTGCATGATCAATGAGTGCCCTAAGGAATTTGATGTAAGAGGTGACCCCAAAATCAGTGTGGAAACCAGGACACATTTCATATGTTATCAAATTCATGAACTTAGGCCCTGTTGAGTCATCTACTGATATTGGAGGAAGACAAAGGAATCCTGCAAAGCAATGAGAAACAAAAGATATGTCCCCCAAACAGCTACTGTTACTGCACTTAAAATGGGTTCCGGCTGCATTAAGCTCTCGTACATTGTGAAAAGATTGGGAGTGGTCTTCAGCTGGATTATCGGGAAATTATTTTCGTGGACCTAGCATTCTTGTTCGGAGAAGGTGAAGAAGATGAGCGGGCTCTTTTTCCATGCGCATTGCTACGTTTGATTACTTCTGTTCCTACTCCTTCGACTTATTCTTTGCAGGTGCACCAATGTTCGCCCAAACGTAAATCTTGATCGAGTCCTTCAACTCCTCGCGTTTGTCGCTTGAGCTCATCAACATCTCGAGGATTTTATAAGGGACTTGGTTCTCTAGCAAGAACAAGTTATGTCGTACAAACGCTATCTGGTCCATTCTGATCGACAATTCTTCTAACTTTTTATGCACAAAGGAGTGCATGAATTGTAAGATTGAACACCCATCTATGAACAACATCCAGGCGAGGGTCTCTTCATCATAGCGCTTTGTTGCTTCCTCAGCATAACAGTCCCGTAGTTCTTTGACCTTCTCGTCAATCTTATGATGCACATCTTCAGCTGTTTGCCTACTAGTGTATTCAAGAAATATTTTTGTCATCATATGCTTGAATTCCTCTGCCAGCTCGCACCTTGGATTACCATGATGGAAAGGGTCCATACATCATTCGCTCAGTTTTTTGAATCTCTCCTCCATAGAACTAGTTCTAACCTCCTCCATGGAAACTATGCTTTCTCTCAGGCTATTTTACCAAGTACCCTTCTAAACAACTCTTGGCTGTTTTTGAATACTAATGTTAGTTTCTGCATTTATTAGTAACATGTACTTTAGAATCTCAACCTTAACAAATAATATTTGTTTTAAAGCATTTACTCAGATATTTGGTTATTAACTTTGCTGAGCAACAAGTGCATGCATGTAATGAGTTTATTTGCATGGAGAGAACTTACCTACTCCCGCAAGCTACTCTGGCATTTCATACCAATAACGCAGTGTCATGTATTTTAATTGTTAGGAATGTCGGTACTACAAGATAGAGAATGCACAAAGTAGAGTAGAAAATGAACACCAAGAATTTATGTGGTTCGGCACCTTATGCCTACGTCCACGAGACAAGGATCAATCTTCACTATATGAAAAAGATGAGTACAACAAGAGTAGTCTTACCAAGCCAAAGACAAGGCTTGATGGATACAAGAAAGTATAACACACACTTTCTAGCACTCTAAACTTCACTCACACAATGTGTAGTGGAACACTCTCACTCTCACTCTCACTCTTGGAGGGGAACTCTAGCTTTGGACTTGATCTTTTGCTACTCATTACTTTCTTGATTGGTTACATCACTACAACATCACACCCATATTTATAGGTGAGGACTTGGCACTCTACTAGTTTCTAGTTCCTTCTACAAACTAGAACTAGTTTCTAGTATATTTTACAAACCTCTAGCTTAATTCTAGACTAGCCATAAAATTGTAGCTTCTAGATCTTTCCATTTGCAACCAAGGAAGCTAGTACTTTCTAGAGTCTTCCACTAACTTAATAACTTGCTAGAATTGTCTAGCATGCTCCAGCCACCTCACTTGCTTACTAGAATAATCTAGAATGTTCATCATGGGCTGGACCATATACCAACAGTAATTTTACTGGATGACACTGCATTATTGGCATGAAACGTTATGGTGGCGGTGTACTAAGGGAAGTTTTCTGGTTTGTGGTAAGCTTTTACACATTATGTGGAAAAACTTTGGACTATGACTTTAACTTCATTGCAAGTTTAGTATGTAGAAGGATTATATCTATGGAAAAACTAAAGCTTGGGGAGACGAAAAAGTTGATGCTTGCAACTTTATTCTGTTACACTATCTTGTTTGGTACAAACCCTGCAAAAGAACAGCTGGTTATACATTGCCATGTTTCTTCGACTTACCCAACTGAAGTCTCTACCTGGAGAACAACTTGTATGGAACAGGTTCACCGCATCATAACTTTTCGGTTTTATAATATCATGTCACATGGAGAAAAAACTTACATATGGTATGATATTATTGGCTTAGGACCCTACAGTGACGGAAAACTCGTTGCATATAAGTCATTTTGTTTCATATGAAGCATAATCTTAATATGCCACAAGAAAAAGAAAAGGGCCAAATTATAGTTTTAGCCGCTGCAGTTTGGTAAAGTTTTACTTTAGTCCTTTAGTTCAATTGTCCTAATTTAACTTTGTAGATTATTAATTTATTAGCTATTGCAATTCAAGAACAATGGCTTGTTTCCTTGAATATTTTGCCCAACACAAATAATAGTACCGTGAATGCAATGTGGGAGATGTTGTACAATTAAACTAAAAGAAGGAAGCGGGGAACAATAAAGAAAAGTGATTGGAGAATTGGTAATTCACGTGTTAATAGATTATTTGCTACGGTCATATCTCGAAAGTTGATGTTTTCAACTTTTCTTGTTGAATGAGTGCTACTTTCATTTCTAGTACGGTCGTAGAAGAGGTGTTCACTTCTCCCACAAAAGTGGCTTGAGCCATCTTTTGCAAAAAGTCATCAAAACAGCAGTCTAATAATAAATGGAGTCTTTTGGGGTTTCAAGGGCTTTATTACATGTCAGTTATTTTCATTTTAATTTCCTAAGTCTTTTGAGTTTTCCAAGAGGTTGTAAAAGGTTTATTTAAGCCATGGCTTTGTAATCATCATTTCACTTTTCAATCAATTAATCAAATTAACCTTCGGGATTTCTATCAAACTGGTGGACTCCAGTAACTTTGTTCTATAAGGGATTAAGCTGGAAACCCTTTCATTGCTTCGTGCTGTGTCAATTGGTACCGGAGCGGGTTTCTCCCGTCTTGGCATCGTTGATTATCCTATTTGCTCTGTTCTAATGGCAATTGATCGTGGGAAAAGATATACTTTAAGCGATGTTGATTGCGAGGTTGTTACAATAGATGTGGTGTGCACAAAGGGAATTACCTCTAGCCAATCTCATATAGTTGATGTTGAAGATATTCCTATTTTCTTCGAAAGTGATTGCATTGAAGATTTTCTCTTGTGGGTTGAGGATGTAGAAAAACGTTTCAAGACACAACCAATTCCGGAAAGAGAGATGGTGAAGATTGTTGCTTCTTGTTTAGATGGTGACGTGGGTTTATGGTGTGATCATATGAAAGAATCTAGGCGACAACAAGGTAAATGTCCTATCCAAACTTGGCGTTGGTTGAAGCGACTAATTGTTAAGCAATTCTTTTCCGATTTATACTAATTGTATTTGGAAAAGACGGGTCAACCAATCATCTGAAAAGAAGCTAAAGTGATGGAGAATGATATATCATTATGCCAAGAAGCGGTGGAGGCCAAGGTGGAAGAAAAATAACAAGTAATTTTCCTTGGTGAAAATCTTGTTGATGAAGATCTCCCGAAACATGACAACTCAGAAGTGGAGACTCAAGAAATTCAAGGTATGAGTGAATCAAAATATGTCATGACTTTGGACAATCATGAGTCTAGTCAATTGGATTTAAATTCTATTGTTGACCAAACAAGAGAATTGGGTAAGGAAGAATATTTTGATTCCCAATTGCCATATTTTGATCTTATTTATGGAATTAATTTTGTTTGTACCATACTTAGGGCATCTATATTTAGATCTCGTATAAATACTCGGGGGACTCAAATGTAATTATGTAATAAATGAAGGGGCAAATATGTAATAAGTGAGGAGCCCTTATTCTATAAAAGGACCCCTCACTCTCCTCATTAAAGGAGGCCAATTCTTAGGCCATGGGAAAGAGCTCTCTCACCCTCAGAAGCTCTCACCCTCTCATCCTCTCACAAACAGAGAAATACAATATTAGTGTGGACGTAGCCCAAACATTGGGATGAACCACGATACATCTTGTGTTCTTTACTTTTTTGCAGATTCACGGTTGGATTTACGTTGTTCCAAGATCCCTCCGGTTTTATGCATCAACATTTGGCACCGTCTGTGGGAAACGATACGAAAAGTTATGTCGGTTCTCTTTCATTTTTTCACCTCCACCGTGAATCTGCAAAATCACAAAAAATCAGAAAAACCCAGAAAACCTTCGCAGACTCCCTATTTACTGAAAATCTCTCCAAATAAACACTTCACCAAGTTTGCCATCACTCTATATAAAAAGCCAGAGCAATTACTTATCCAATAGGTTATTGAAGAAGATGAACTCTCAAAGCGTCAAAAACATATCAGAGTGTTTTATCATTCCACACCATGTCTTAGAGGAATCACAGCAGCCATTGTACTTGGCACCCACCGACCTCGCCATGCTCTCCGTCCATTATATCCAGAAAGGCCTCCTTGTTCATTTTGGACAAGCTCAAGCACTCTCTCTCCCTCGCCCTTGTTCACTTTGGTATCAATTCCACCGATGTCATCCTCGAGATTGGTCCCGGTACTGGTAATCTCATCAAGAAGCTTCTAGAAGCTGGTAAGAGGTTCATCGCCGTCGAGATTGACACCTACATGATCCTTGAGCTGCAGTTCCGAGGCATTGAAGAGAGCGACAGGCAGAGACCTGTTAAAGTGGATAGCCAAGACTGTTGTCGAAGAGATCGTCACCTCCCCCGCCTCACCGCTCACCTCTAGGACACTGTCTGCACGGGAGTTCTCACTAATCTCAACTTCCCCGATCCTAACGTCAGCTCCGTCGCTGTCTCCATCCTCGTCGCAATCCTTTCCTACCACCTCTCCAAGCTCACTGCCGACCTCTGAGCTACCAGGCCTAAAGTTTCATTTTCGTGGACTTCGCAGTTGCAGACCTTCCTGGACTCAACAGGCCAATTATTGTCTGCAACTTGAGATTAACTGGAATAGTTGTCTTGTTCATAAAAATTGTTGATCCTACCTTCAATTTCGTTACCAGGCATTAAATTCCCAGGCACCAAATTTCTCAACTAATTGTTTCTGTGAAAAAGAGCTACGACTGTTTATGAGACCATTATACATAAGGTACCTTGATCCCTGCAATTCTGCCAGGCATTCTCTAACTTGTCAGTGTGATCCCAACCCAGGGGAATTAGGGTTCTTCAATAGCGTGGACAGTACGACGTCGTTTCTGCTTCTGTTGCAGCTCCTAATTCACACCACAGTTGTTTAATCTCCAAATCCACAGTTGTTTAAGCTCCAAATTCACAGGCGGAGTTCGTCAATTCTCTTTTGGACAAGCTCAAGCACTCTCTCTCCCTTGCCCTCGTTCATTTTTACCCGTTCACCGGCCGCTTCATGACGAAGAAAGAAGAAAACCCACATCTGTATTTGGTTTATGTAGACTGCAGCAACAGCCCCGGAGCCAGGTTCATCTATGCAACTCTAGATGTGTCGGTTTTGGACATTCTTTCGCCAACTGAAGTGCCCTTGGTGGTTTAGTCAATTTTTTTTCGATCATGACAGAGCTGTTAACCACAGACAGCCCTTGGAGGTTGCTAGTATTTTTTTGAATTTTGGGGGTTTTCTCGGCCATGGCGTCTGAGGGACAGAGTCTCTAGCCCCGGCCCCGACCATCCTCAACGGCAGTAACCAGTCAAACCCAACTCAGAGGGGGTGGGCATCATCATCATCATTATCAAGGTGAAAGCGGGCTAGCATTGGAACGAGTCGTGACCCACCAAAAGATTCGTCTGGGTTCATCGCCACCAAGTTGCAAATCTAAGTGCAGAAGCTGCTCGCCGTGTAAAGCAGAAAAGAAAAGAGAAAAGAAGAAACAGAAACAAAAGCAAAAGCAA